TTTGGCGTTTGTGGCAGGTAATTCCCGATTGACTTGTGTTGGACGCGAGGATGCGAGCAGAGTGAGTTGTTGCTGCTCTGCTGTGGTTCTACAAGCATGACTCCGGCAGCGTCGCTCTGAAACAAATCCTTGCCACAGGCTGCTCCATGATGGTGTATCCATGAGTTGACACATGCTGCCTTCTAGGCTTCAAGACGATGCAGCGGAACTGCAGAGGTACTTCCAAGTGTCTCCAAAGTTGCTGGGGTTTGGAGAAGCTTGTTTGGGTGTCTTGAAAGTGTCATGCTGTGGCGTGGCATCATGGGCTTTACGAAATTTGGCGACAAGCGTGTCAATGATTTGGATTTGCTTTCAGGTTATGTAGTTGGAGTTGCATGCTTGCACCGCGAAAATCCATGCAGGCGGATCTGCATGCAGCTCGCTTCCCGTACGTCTTGATCATCTGTTCTTTCCCTGTCGTTTTTGTTTGCAATGCTTTGTTCCTCTTCCTTCGGCTGTATTTTCATATGTACAAACCCCAAACAAACCTTGTTAATGTCTGCGCGCAGCTCATTTCACTGAGGAATGAGCACTTTTTTGGTGACACCTTCGATGTGCTTTGTTTTCATATGTACAAACTCCAGGCATACTTTGAAAACATCTCTGTGCTGCGCATTCTATTGGAGAAAGCCATGCCATGACCACACCTTTGATCTGCTGTGTTTTCATATGTACAACCCCCAATCAAACCTCAATTCTAGGCAGCGGACGAAACCTAGAGTTGCCGCGCGCAAAAAAAGAAATTAATTGAACTTTCCTTTAAAATCCTGTCGCACCTGCTGGCATCGTCCGGCCCCATAGATTTGAGGTTTGAACAAGGTTTGCTTGAGGTTTGTACATTGAAAAACCAGCATGCCAGAGCTTTGCCACTTGAAGTGTTCCTGCCATTGTAAAGTGTCCGATGGGACGTGTATTCCGAGTTTGTTCGAGGTTTGTACATATGAAAACACAGCATGTGAGAGTGTACTGGCAGCCAGCGTGCTTTTCTTGCGTTTGGAGGGGTCCTGTTGTTGTGGTTGGGATTTTTGGGGTTTGGGTTGTTGGTTTGTGTTAGTAGTTGGTTTTTTTTGTCCGTTTTCCGGGCGGGTTGATGCTTGCTCATGTTGCCGGAAGCGTTAGCACAGACCTCAATGTTTGAGAGAGAATGGCAAATCCATGTGTCTCACAGGCAGATTGCCATTCAGCAACTACTGCGTCAGTAGTCTGGCTGCTGGCTTTAGATTTCATCTTTACTCTATGTGTATCCCCTTGCCCCGGAATTTTAATATTGGATGTTGTGCAAACGAGAAGCTTCTTAGATTGATCGCACACCGGCGCGTTCGATTTTTCACGTTTATGTTTGTATCAACATTGGTCTTGGGGGCAGGGGGGGACTCGTTGAATCTAATTCAAGCTTTGGAAAGTATTGTGATCCCGGAGACTTATGAGTGTACCTCCTCAGTGTCAACATGATACAGAAAAACGGTGTATGATCTTCGATTCTGGCATGATGACGTATGAAGAGAGTCACGTGCTTCGCTGGTTGAAGAATGGAACTGTATGCTAGACATACGCCTAGGTTGTGCGAGCATCTGTAAAAGGGTTGTCGGGCACATTCACTGGGAGTTTTTTTTTTTGGGCGCCGCAACATTTCTTTTCGTTTTGGACAGTTTGTGTCTCTTTTGACAGAGGCCATTTTTAGTTTCAATTTCTGGGAGACCGCTTCTATTGTTTCATTAGGCGAAGCCAAAAATGGCTTCATTTTTGGGATCAATTTTTGGCTTCGAGTTTGGAGCCAAAATCTATCTTTTTTGGCGTTTGTGGCAGGTAATTCCCGATTGAGTTGTGTTGGACGCGACAGGATGCGAGCAGAGTGAGTTGTTGCTGCTCTGCTGTGGTTCTACAAGCATGATTCCAGGAGCTTCGCTCTGAAACAAATCCCTTGCCACAGGCTGCTCCATGATGGTGTATCCATGAGTTGACACATGCTGCCTTCTAGGCTTCAAGACGATGCAGCGGAACAGTGTCAACATGATACAGAAAAACGGTGTATGATTTTCGATTCTGGCATGATGACGTATGAAGAGAGTCACGTGCTTCGCTGTTGAAGAATGGAACTTTATGCTAGACATACGCCTAGGTTGTGCGAGCATCTGTAAAAGGGTTGTCGGGCACATTCACTGGGAGTTTTTTTTTTTGGGCGCCGCAACATTTCTTTTCGTTTTGGGCAGTTTGTGTCTCTTTTGACAGAGGCCATTTTTAGTTTCAATTTCTGGGAGACCGCTTCTATTGTTTCATTAGGCGAAGCCAAAAATGGCTTCATTTTTGGGATCAATTTTTGGCTTCGAGTTTGGAGCCAAAATCTATCTTTTTTGGCGTTTGTGGCAGGGAATTCCCGATTGTGTTGGACGCGACAGGATGCGAGCAGAGGGAGTTGTTGCTGCTCTGCTGTGGTTCTACAAGCATGATTCCGGCAGCTTCGCTCTGAAACAAATCCCTTGCCACAGGCTGCTCCATGATGGTGTATCCATGAGTTGACACATGCTGCCTTCTAGGCTTCAAGACGATGCAGCGGAAACTGCAGAGGTACTTCCAAGTGTCTCCAAAGTTGCTGCGGTTTGGAGAAGCTTGTTTTGGTGTCTTGAAAGTGTCATGCTGTGGCGTGGCATCATGGGCTTTACGAAATTTGGCGACAAGCGTGTCAATGATTTGGATTTGCTTTCAGGTTATGTAGTTGGAGTTGCATGCTTGCACCGCGAAAATCCATGCAGGCGGATCTGCATGCAGCTCGCTCCCCGTACGTCTTGATCATCTGTTCTTTACCTGTCGTTTTTGTTTGCAATGCTTTGTTCCTCTTCCTTCTACTGTATTTTGATATGTACAAACCCCAAACAAACCTTGTTAATGTCTGCGCGCAGCTCATTTCACTGAGGAATGAGAACTTTTTTGGTGACACCTTCGATGTGCTGTGTTTTCATATGTACAAACTCCAGGCATACTTTGAAAACATCTCTGTGCTGCGCATTCTATTGGAGAAAGCCATGCCATGACCACACCTTCGATCTGCTGTGTTTTCATATGTACAAACCCCAATCAAACCTCAATTCTAGGCAGCGGACGAAACCTACATTTGCCGCGCGCAAAAAAAGAAATTAATTGAACTTTCCTTTAAAATCCTGTCGCACCTGCTGGCATCGTCCGGCCCCATAGATTTGAGGTTTGAACAAGGTTTGCTTGAGGTTTGTACATATGAAAAACCAGCATGCCAGAGCTTTGCCACTTGAAGTGTTCCTGCCATTGTAAAGTGTCCGATGGGACGTGTATTCCGAGTTTGTTCGAGGTTTGTACATATGAAAACACAGCATGTTAGAGTACTGGCAGCCAGCGTGCTTTTCTTGAGTCTTTTCCGGGCGGGTTGATGCTTGCTCATGTTGCCGGAAGCGTTAGCACAGACCTCAATGTTTGAGAGAGAATGGCAAATCCATGTGTCTCACAGGCAGATTGCCATTCAGCAACTACTGCGTCAGTAGTCTGGCTGCTGGCTTTAGATTTCATCTTTACTCTATGTGTATCCCCTTGCCCCGGAATTTTAATATTGGATGTTGTGCAAACGAGAAGCTTCTTGGATTGATCGCACACCGGCGCGTTCGATTTTTCACGTTTATGTTTGTATCAACATTGGTCTTGGGGGCAGAGGGGGGGAGCTCGTTGAATCTAATTCAAGCTTTGGAAAGTATTGTGATCCTGGAGACTCATGAGTGTACCTCCTCAGTACGATGCTAAAAAATGCCATGAAATTGCATCCCGAACATCGAAGGGTGGCCGTTCAGCCAAAAGAAAGATCTACCTTCCAGATCTTCCAATGGATTCTTCCAGTATTTCACCTAGTATTTTGGCAGTTGGCAGATTCTTCCAGATTCTTCCAGATTCTTCCAGATTCTTCCAGATTCTTCCAGTATTTCACTAAAAGTGTTCCATGTCGCTACTCGGAACTCGTCTACTCCGAGCTCCACATCCTGCCTTGAACCACTGCCACCTCCATTCCTTCCACGTCAATCCTGGGATTTCATGAAATGTTCATGAAAACGTTGAAATGTTGAAATGTTGAAATGTTGAAATGTTCATGAAAATTGGATCAATTCGGAAAAAAAAACAAGACCTAAGTCATCTAAGTCTGTACCTAAGTCATCCTAAGTCTGTCTCCATGCAGTCTACAGGTTTGCTCGCTTTTGTATGCTTTTGTAGCCCCAGGTTCTTGATCAGCCTGACGTCTTGCACCAGTGGCAAGGCCCAGCTTTGAGCTTTTTCAGGATCCAGCAAGAGATCATCCAAGCGCAGCACACGCACTGTCTCCTCGCATTGGGAAAGTCTCGGAAGTGTTTATGCTTGGGAAACCATCTGAATCTACACTGAATCTACACTGAATTCTAGACTGTTTTACATGTTGTCGATCTCTGTTGCCTGTCATCCAACATGACCTACATGACTTCATAATCAAAGCGCTCCAGCTCTTGAGCTAAGAGGTCGTACAGCTGGAAAGATTCATGCCTTGACAAAACAGTTCTGCTCATCACTTGGAGACTGATAGGGCTTGCTTCAAAACACATCAGGATAATGATGTTTATCCATATTTATCCATCGTTTTTGAGCCTGCATAGTACATTGCATGGCATGGACATGGCATTTGCTGTGCATTTGCGATCAAATGCTTGGAATGTTCCAACAAATAACCCCTAAAATGAAGCAGCCACGGTGCACCTGCTCACGACAAGGCGGATCGAAGTAGTACATTTAAATACATTTAACACATCAGATTCTGAAAGCAAACAGAATAAACAGATTTCAAAAAACGAAAACGAAACCTGAGTCCTCTGAGTCCAGTGACTATCCGACAGTCCCGTGAGTCAAGTACCAAGATGTACCAAGATAGCGAGGGTAACGAGGACCCGTGCTTCGGTTGCGAGGCACTGGTGCTTGGACTGCAGCTCCTGCTGTTGTCCTTTCAGCCGCACCCCGCCAGGCGAAGAAAAGAAGCGCAACTGCGGCGGGTATAGCGGCATGCGCCTGCCGCTGCGCTAAAGATACCCAAAGGGCACCATGGTAAATCTTGGTAAATCCGCTTGTAAGATGTTTCACCCCAGAAAGAGTATCCAAACCACAATAAACGGACCACAACTCCACTTCAATGGCGTCAAAATGCATAAAAGTTGGCAGACAAAATCCAAAGCTGAGGGGCTCTTCAGCTTGACCCAAAGCCGCGTTCACCGGCCAAACATTCTGCAGACCTCAGGGCGGCCCGGTAAAGTTTGGATTGAGGATTCAATGATTCAACTTGCAACGTTTAAAGTGCAGGACTTGGTGCCCCAAATCTTTGAAAGGAATCACCAAGTCCTGGATTGGTGAACAACATGTGCAGCCACCTGCCCTGGCACCTCCAAGTTTCAACTGCCCATGGAATCAAACTCATCCATAAATTCCCCAATTAAGAAACGTTTCACTGTGTCTAGATGGCCTAGCCCTTGCCCAATGACAAACACAGTTTTAGAAGTCCTGGGGGACGTGCGGCCATTTTTGAGTCTAAGGATCCGTTGATGGCCACATTGGCCACCACCAACTGATGAAGCCAGCGGAAAGGTTCAAAGGCAATGACGTGGCCCTTGGGCCCAACCGCCTGCGAAAAGGCAGATATCAGTGGAGTCCAAGGGTACAGATTACCATTGGTCTACCATTGGTCTACCAATGTCTACCAGGTCTACGGCTGTTCCCACCTCAGCCAAGGCTACAGTGTAGCAGCCCAAGTTTGCGCCCACGTCGATGGCCACGTCTCCGGGTCTCAACAGCATCTGCATCTGGTAGCTCTGCAAATGATTCATGGAGCCCTGCGAGGGAAACCAAGTCGTAAAGATGTTTTGGCGTTTCGGATGGAGTTACGTTTGAAGGAAATGCAGCAACTCCTCTGCATCAACTTTTGAAGTTTCACTTCTTGCTCGCTGAAAAAAGATTGCCAATCAGCTTTGGTCAGCACAAGGTATCGTGGTCATTCCTCTTCTTACTTGACCAGTCATGACTCACCACAGGGCTGTCCTGATTTTTGATGGCGTGTCCAATGTTCACATCGAAGAAGGGCAGCACAAAATGATGTGGCGTGCGTCGCTCCAGTCTTACAAACTCAGCAGAGGTGTCCTCGAGTCTCTCTCTCTCTAAGGATAATCCTTTTGGGATGTTGTGCATCACAGGCACCGGCGAACCACAGCCAACTCATACCAAGCGATATCACCCTCCAAATGTTGTCCTGAAAAGGCTGAAGAGGCACATCTGAGATTCTCCTGCCACAAGCAGCTGTGAATTCTGTAAACCTTAACTGCTTTGAAAATTTGGTGCCCAAAATGCCGCTGCGAACAGCAACCGTCACATTGGTTGTGACTCAAACAACTGTCGTTGCAGTCGTTTCATCCATGCCTTTTGGGCCCGGGAGGCTGCTGCGATGGTGGCATCTGCATGTGTGGCTCGCGGTGATTCACCACGACCTCGGTACTCTAAGTCAGAAAACGCCCCGGATTATCCGGACACATCCGGATTTTGATGTCTTAAGTCTTAAGCCTTCAATATCTTACATCTTGTTTACATCAACGTCAAATTTTGCGCTGTCTTGCGCTGTGAAGCTGTGCTGTCTTGCGCTGTGAAGCTGCGCTGTGTTGCGCTGTGAAGCCGGACGATGGTTGGATGGTGTTGACCACCCACGAAGACGTCCTTGGATACTTCTGGGGCATGGCCTTGGGCGGTTTGACGCAATGTTGATGTGTTTCTCGACCAAAAAACACACGACACAAAAATGCAGCAGACGCTTAAGAGCCTGACGCAAAACGAACAAGCATCTTGTGTAACCTGCCAGAGCACAGAGTTCGCATGAAACCACAAGAGATTTTCGGCAAGCCTGATGTCAAGTGTTTCTGTGGAAATGACTTATCATGGACATCAATCCGAGACCCAGGCGATGCAAGTTCGCTTCCTGGTAAAACCCAGGGCCATGAGAGCTTACAGCCAGAAGATACCTCCTGAGCCAGAAATATGCCGAACTGGCAACACATTCATTCATGGAGCCACTGATCTGGTGGCCTCTCTTCAACCCGCTCCTGCAGCTTTCAATGGTGAGAGTACTGTTGTTAATGCCTGCCAACTGCTCTGCCTTGCGCTCAGAGAGTGCTGGCTCCAAACGCATGTCATAGAAGTGTGAAAATTGAAAAGATTGAAGGAACCCGGTGCCAGAAACAAGATGCTTACATCAGTAGGGATTGATCATATCGAGTGTTGGTTGCTGAATGATCTTGGCAGAGCACTACAGTCCCTGCACTTCCTGCCTGAGAGATTTCTTCAGCCCGGACCAGCAGCACAAGCAACGGGAGCCAAGTCATCGGACAAGCGAAGTCATGAAGCTAAAGTTGTTTGCAGTTGTTTACTGCCAAGGGAAAGGGCATCGTAGTGAAAGGATTGAAGCAGCATGAAGCAGCTGAAGTTGAGCCAAAATACAGCTTGACATTGCAACAAACAAGTCATACAGCTGTAACTGATAGTATCAGAAAGCGTATGACTTCTCCCAGATCAATCCACCGGGAAAAACAAAGACAGGCTACAGCGGCTACAGACTGTACAGATCAATCCACATGCCTTCACTGCGCACAACGCCATCTGCTGATTCATCGAAGGCCTCAGCTCTACTTCAGCACGGTATACCGCCATGGAAGTCCGTGGGACAGAAAATGGCGTAGAGTCATCCGAACCTCAAAGTAATACATCTAAGTTCCCCTCCCAAACAAGACTCCACAGTTCCATTCTTTCCTTTCTGATACAACAGAACATCCATCTACAATCAAAAAAATCACAAACCCGGATTTTCTAGTGGGGGCTGGAAAAACATCCCCAATATTGCCCAATTTGGAGCTTGTGCTCGAAAAGGAATTGCTGGTAACCTCTGATGGCCTGAGCAAAAGCGACTGAGCAACACGCTCGTCCTCGCCCCGTGGCAGAAAGTTGGCCCATGGCCTTTACACCGCTTTGTTGGTCCATGGTGATCCCGGTGATCCATTGTGATCCATGGTGATCCATGGTGATCCATGGTGATCCATCAGCGACAGCAACGTCAATCAGCCCACTTTGGAAAGCATTGACAAATCAGGCAGTGGTAAAGCTGCACGCTGCCCTTGCATTCCTTCCATTGCCTTCTGCAGTCTGTTGACCGTTTCCCTGCTTCAATGGTTTTCCATTAGACTCATTAGACACTAGCTCCTATAGTTCTCATGTTTTCTTCTTTTTTCTGTATGATTGATGTGCCTTCAACACACCAGTTGATGATTGATGACACCTCCGCACACTGAATTGCTGAGACCCTCACGCAGCAGACAATCAGTGTCACAGGGTGCTGGATCTGGGTGTGGCTGAGATCCGTGGCTGTTCTGATCATTCACAGAGTCCCAGCATGTCTCAGCACTTGGTGTCCCGGCCAATTGCATGCTGCAAACCACAGCTTTGCTGCAACGAGTCTGCGCAGCTTTAGATCAACACAGCTTTGCAGAGGCTTTGCATGCTTTGCACGGAAAAAAAAAGCTGCTGTCACGCTGCTGTGACAGGCCTCACGGCCGTAGTTCAGTGCAGTATCCATCGCGGCCGCACCAGAGGACTCTTCGGTGTCTATGCAAATGCTGGGCCTGGTATCACAGTGAAATTATGCTGCAGACACACAGTGAAGTCACCTTGACAAATTTGACAATGGTTTTGCTGTTTTGCTCATTCTTGCCACTCAAGTCCGTGCGAAAGGTCGCCAGTGGGCTCTGGTGCAAGGGATCTGAGGGCAGCACCCTTTCGTACCGTAAAACCATGCGATGCGGTTAACGTAGCCAGCGTTGCTCCTCAGTGGCAATTGCATCACTTGACCACTTGAAAAGAGCATGCAGAGAATCCGACAAGCAAAAGAACCTCCAATCAGCCTTTCTGGCATATCAGACTATTGTACTCACACTTCGCTTAGCTGGTTGTTAATGAAAACCTATTGCTACTAGGGCCAAGGTTAAGTGGATCTCAAGTGAAAGATCTCAGAACAACCAGCCAGGAACAAGTAGTTTTTGTTTTAACCAGCCCCACAAAACCAATGGGTTTGATGTTCTTGTAGAATCACGCATAACTGCATGAAGCTACGAAGCTTCCCAGGGGTCTGTGCACGAAAATATCAAAAGTTCCAACGACAGAATGTCAAAAGTCCTACCTGACAGAAAATGAACAGACAAAAAACAACTATTTCATCACTATTTCGAAGGATGGCTCAGACAAGTGGAACTAATGCCAGAGGTGATGAGTGTAGCCGTGCAATCCCACACACGGTCAGGCCTCTCAATTCTGCTTCATTTCTGCCAAGAATCAGCAATCCCTGCGCAGCTCGACCAAGCGACTTCACATCACCTGTCATCAGCTCATGGTACCTCCGGCAGGGGAATGATTGGATCCCCAGTTCAATGGACGACCTTCGACTTCTCTCAGTTCTGCAGGGCACATTTCATTGCCAGACAAGCCGCAAAAGAAACCTGGGAAGAAAATTGGAGAAAGCTGCACCAAGCTAGCCAAGCAAACATGATGTCAAAGAAACCAGGACAGTCATAAGATACGCCTGACATTGAAGATAGAAACACTTGCTGTTGCTGACAGGTGGTTGACATACCCGACAATGTGCTTCAGACACTGCCACTTTGATGGCACTTCATTGCCTCATGCAAACTGGTCACCCAATTCTGAGCGTAGGACCGAGATTTTGCCCTCTGAGCTCTTGCTTGCCTTGGATATTGAAATGAAAAATTACGCAAGTTTGAAACCGCGCCTGTAACTAAACAAACCTTTTTTGGGGGGAACATCGTCTTTGCAACTTCAACACACCATGCTCGGTTCTTGGCTCAAACCTGATTTCCCCAGGCAGTCTTGGACCGAATGAAGCAGAAGTGATTGCCGAGGGTCGTCCTAGCATGGCACAAATCTTCTGTTGAGACAAGTGTCAGGTTCCTAGCCTTGATATAGGATTTGTAGAGCATGGAAAGCAGTGCCCAGAAAAGAATTGATAACCAGCAATACTAGAAATTGCAGATAATTGGTGACTAATAATGACTACTATGCAATAGATATTAATGTATATTATTAGATATTCAAAAACTAAAAAAATCATGGATATAAATAGATATTCATGGATATTAGCAGATATTCATGGATATTCATGGATACCAATAGATATTCATGGATATTAACAGATATTCATGGATATTCATGGACACAAATGGATATTGATGGACAAGAAAATAGATAGTCATGGATATTAATAGATATTCATGGATATTAGCAGATATTCATGGTATTCATGGATATTAATAGATATTCATGGGTATTAATGGATATTCATGGTATTCATGGATATCAAAAGATATTCATGGATATTAATAGATATTCATGGATATTCACGGATATTTCATGATAACTAATTCGAATCAGAAACTGTAGTTGGGCCGTCCTGGCTGAGGCCAAAGGCTGAGAGCTCCTCAAAGCTCATGGACCCGAAACTCTCGAGCACACCCATGTGCCTGTCAGCCGGGCAAAGGTTGCACCTAAGGTATTGGGAAGGAGTCGCAAGACTGGAACTAGATGGAACTATGGTTGTATTATGTTGCATTATGGTATATGTATGTATATGTATGATTATGTATGTACATCTACATCTACAAGAATATAACATAATCAACATATACAAATTTTATACACAAACGGCATCAGCAACACTGTTCTGTGTTTGTCCGAATCACTTCGCCCAAGATCTGGAAGTTGAAGGAGCAAGAATCATAAAGAATCTATTGAGCTCCCGTGAAATCAGCCTCGTGTACATCTTGAAGTCATCGCGACTGCCAGGGTCTGGATCGAAATACCTCAATCCAACAGAGTTTTAGGTGGCCTTGAGGAATCAGTGACAAGGTTGACAAGGTAGCAGATCTTAGCAGCTACTTAGCAGCCACTTCCTCTTAAAGTCAACCAAAACAAATGAAAAATCATCGAAAATCTGACATCCAAAACAGGGTCATGGAGTCATGGAGTCATGGAGTCATGGTCCTTTTTGCACTCCCCGCACAGCGATTCACCGTGCCCACAAGGGGCCCACGGCGGCCAGGAGCCTCAACCTTCATGGCAATGGGCAAGTTGGGTAGAATATTTTCTACCCCCCATCCTTCAGGCGGCATGAGATGTTGCATTCAAGCAAGTATTCACTTGTATTCATTTGTCAAATTGTCAAATCAATTGTCATCAATTGTCTAATCAATCCCTAAATAGTCATTCTGAGATATTGTGATCTTGAGGATGCAAGATAACTCCTTGAGCAATGCGCACATGCGCCTGTGCCACCTGCTGCCACGAGTGAAACGCCGCCATGGCAAGTTGGCTCAGGACAGCTGGGAGCTGTGGTCGCTGAGCGCTTACTTTGTTGCCGGCGCGGTCGAGCGGCACAAAGTCACTGGCTTTGTACGGGACTTTAGAGGGGTCCAACTTGTTCTGAATCAGACAAGGCTCGCTGCCATTCGCTTTATGATCTTATGGCAACTTGGACCAACAGTGGTAAGCAGGGCCCCCCAAAAGAATCTCTGCCCTGCCAGGCATGAGTCTGCAGTGACACCCCTACAGTCACAGTATGTCAAACAAAGGAATCCCCGGTGAAAAGTTCGAGTACAAGCAGGCAGCAAAATGCCGCAGTCAACATCGAAGTATGCTGAAAGCCTGGTCAGGCTGCATCCCGCTTTCCGGAAACTCTCAAAAAAAAAACGGCCCAATTACATGCGAACAGCTGAGGAGAGCAAGCACTCTGCACCGCGTGCATAGGCATCGCAGCTCTCAAAGACTTTACAAAAGACTCACAGTGGACCCGCAGTCAACGGCATTCCTTTACAAGTTGCAATCGGCTCCCGATCGGCTCCCAGTCACTTCGGTCACTTCTTCTTCTTGCTGGGAGTCTTCAGTTCCATGTAGACCTGACCTTCCGCCTTCGCTTCGGAATCCGGAAGTCGATGCATCAACTTGAAGCCATGCCTCAGTCAGGTCCATGTATGCAGCTATTATGGTATATATCGTTTGTGTATTATTTAATTATATATATATAATTTAATATATATATATAGCTCCCTAGCAAAAACATATGCCCGCCTCTTGTAGAATTTGATGGACCCCGGCAGGGAGGACAAGCCGATGCTGTGAATCTCGGGAAGGCGCTTGGCCTCTGCGATCAACGTTTTCAGCAGCAAACTACCGAAGCCCATGCGGCGATGTTCCTGTGCCATGTGCGGATAATGTGGGACTGAGACATCTGAGATATGTGAGACATCTGAGACATGTGAGACATGTGACGTGAGTCGACGTGAGTCGACGTGAGTCGACGTGAGTCGACGTGAGTCCGTTGAAATAAGTGGGACAAGTGGGTCCGTCCTCCGGAACAGCCAACTGCGCAATGATCAAAGCGTTCCTTTCTGGCTTGATGCGAAAAACAATAAATCCCATCATCTCAATCTGCCTTAGGACAGCAGGCCAAATTCAATGCATCAAATCGTATGATAGTCATGATATTTCGTCTCTTGAAGTCGAATGCTGACGAATCAACATTTTGTGGCATCCAAGACACTCATTCCGTTGTCCCACGGCAACATGCAGGCGCCAGCCGCCTCTGTGATAGTGACAGCGCAATTTCAATCTACAGATTGAAATCCAATCAATAAAGTCAGCGGAGACCAAATGCTTTCCAGTAAAAGTAATGTCAAGTTGAAAAACACTTCAGCCAACGTTTTTGTGAAGTGAAAAGGAATAGGAAAGAGAAACAGGAGGGTCAAACAATTCAAAGTAATTAAGGCATCCCTAAGCATACTATTGTTGCGCATTCCGAGTGGGAGACTGAAGTCCAAGAAATCTTCGAGTTCATCAAATGGCCTCGCTTTGAGCATCCAGCCAAGGGATCTTCGTTAAAGATGTCACTGCCAAGAGCAGTGACTTGCTCGAGCACTGGGCGCTTCCTAACGGATGCTTCACGAACAGAGAACGATCAGGAAACGGTGGGGTCCATGTGTGCTAGACATATTCCTTGCAGAGAGAGAACCCATGCCAACATATTCCAACCACCTCCAGCCTCCTGATGCAACAGCAGTCAATGAAACGCAATATAAATATGTTCTACACCTCTAGATATTTCTCAAGCCGCAAACAGAATTAGATCCCTTGGCAAGCCCCTTTGCAAGTTAGCCGCTAGCCGTTGCTTCCAAGGAACTTCGCATCGTTTTTATCTGCTGCGGGCTTTACATCCAGCCACAGAGACGTCACCCACTCCGCCGAGGACTCTGCCTCGATCTCGCTGGCGAACTCTGTGCTTTCCGTCTCGGCGTCGGTCCGGGACTCTGTGCGAGACTCCTTGGCATCCGCCTTGGCGTCCGCCCGGGCCTTGACATCATCGGTCCACAGGACCGTCATAGCTAGGCGAACCACAAAAACCAGGGGCGCACCAAGCGCCAAGAGTCGTTCCTGGCTCACCACATTTGGGCCACACAGCTATCGCAGCTACAAGTCATGTGCACATGTTTTGGTGTCAACTTTCAGAAAGTTTCAAAGCAGTCTGAGAAAAGATGTGCGCAATCATCTCGGTGCAATGACGATTGGACAGTGATTGGACCCGACAATTTCTCTAGAATCAGAATTTCTTCTGCATAAACTAGAGAACTTGCAAAAATTTGCACAATTTGATGTCCTTGGGTCTTAGGTCCAAACGCATCGAGATCCCATTTCGACTTGGGAATCTCGCTGATGCAGTCAAAACCACCCAAAGCCTTGGTGGATTGACGACAGTGGCACCCTCAATCTTTCCAGGACCTTCCAGGACCTTCCAGGACCTTCCAGGACCTTCCAGGAGTCCGGACAGTCCCTTCCCATTTGGAGGTCTCAGCGCCCACTCCACACGGCAATTGGTGCGAGATCTGGCGAAAAACATCTGAGCTGCTCAAGGCACTGGCGATTTCCAGAAGTCTCACAAAAGGTTTTGAAATGTTTTGAAATACGGATTGTCTTTCCTTTTTTTCTATGTTTTTTCTGTGTTTCTTTGATTTGATGCAGGCTTTCCATCCGCATTTGACATCATTTGACAAGACTGTAACAGTGCCAAGACTTCATCCAGCCTCCAGAATCTTCATCGGTCTGCTCCTGCCAGAAAGGCGTGTCGCGAGCACACACGGAATAGCGAATGCTGTCTATGCGACACGGTGATTTGGATGAGATGAATGTGATGAATATGAACATACATATATACATAATTATACATATGTATGTATATATATATATAATTATATATGTATATACATATATAATCTGAATGATGTGTTTCTGTGATCCAGATTTGTGCTGAAGTTCATTTTTCCCTGCTTGCAACTGCTCAGCCAAAAGGCTCTCGCCTCATGAATGTCTGTCTGGCGAGCTTGATCCACTCTTCCGGCACATTCTCCTGACCAGCCCAAAACGCAAAAACTAATGAAACTCTCCTTGTGTCATTGCGCGGAAGTGTTATGAAGCTTTGTACATCTCAGTACCATGTGATTCGATGTGTCCAGCTCTTATGTTTCCTGAATTTCTACATCTTCTGAATCTTCTCCAGACAAATCTGCCACATAGAACTCCTATGAACTCCTATGAACTCCTGCACGTCGTTGTCAGCGATGGCTTTCAAACGTCCAAGCAGCCAGCTTTGCAGCTCCTTCGCAGATCTACCGACTACGACTCATATGTTGACTAATCATCATCTCTTCTGTCTCTTCTCTCGAATCGAGGAACATTTGAATCATTTTGAATCATTTCTATTCATTTCTTAGCGTTTCTGATCTGTGAGTCTGTGCTTTCGATCCGCTTGACCTACCTGCATTCTGAATCGCTTTCAAAAGGTTGAACATACAAAGCCGGTCCGGTGGAGGTGGTACTCGGTCAGAGGCTGACTCCTGTGGGACATAGTTAACATCTTGTCAAGCACAAAATCAAACGCTTGAAAGATCTAACACCCACTGCCCTTCCCTGCAGTTTCAAACCCATGATTTTAGGTGCTCAGAAGACCACAGGCACCGTGGATGAAAACACAAGGCTTCGCTCGCACTTGAGCAGCTGACAAATGGAGCGTGCTTCATCTCTGGGAAGAAATCAACCTACACCATCCAGGGTTTGCCGAAAGGATTAAGAGCTGTTCCAGTCAAGTAGGAAAAGGATGGAAAAGGATGGAAAAGGTGACGAAGTTGATAAATGTTGGCACCATTGGTCAGTTCGTCACACCGCAATTGATCGCGACACCTCCACCAGCACGCAAGGCTCTGAGAGCTGCGGATTCAACGAGCAGCTGCAGGCCTGGTGCAAGCTGCCGTCGAAACACGGCATGTGGGGTATGGTCATCCATCCCATAGTGGGAATCCTTCCAATGGATATATGAACTCCTTTTGAAGGGTTGATGACCATTCCCAATATGGCAGTTCATCCAAGTATTGACAATGGCACGTGTAGTAGGATACAAAGACTAAGTCCATGCAAAAGCTCAAAATTGCAGGTGCCTCCCCACGCACTACAACCATGGAACCAGGCTGCAACTGCGTCCGATACACCTGCAGGCAAAATGAACAAAGACTTCAGAAGGAAAAACTGTGCGGCTACCCAGAGATCCTTAGAAAATCTTAGAAAGATAATCGAAGGCTGGGACATGCACTGCATCTTTGAGGCTGTGTGTTGTGCCCTCACCACTGGACTCAAGGCTTGGAGGCCCAACCAAGCACGCCTGACTCTCATCCTCTGCGAGCAAAGGGCATATTGCCAGCATTGCTGGAGAAGGACCCAGGAAGCAGAAGAGTTTCTGGCGATGGAGCAAAAGCTTGCAAAAGGACACTGCCAACAGATTGGGCTGGAAAAACTTAAACCAATGTGAAGTATTCACTTCTTTCGTTCATGAGCTCTCCCTCCGCATTGCTCGGAGTTTTTTTCCACGCGCCGAAGTCTTCCCCCAAGACTTCCAAACCACAGCGTCAGTGCTCGTCTGCAGAGTCACTTCAGAAGAAGAGCAACAATTGAAAAGGATGCATTTGAACAAAAGTTCACTGATTTCTTCATGGCTTTCTTTGGCCTCACGCGATGACACCAATACAGCTTCCAGCACCCCAAGGCCAGCTGCAGCAATTCTCGGAGTCATGGCAAAGTCAGGCACCAAGCCGTGCCCGTTTCAAGAAGGCGGGAACTTCTGCAACATGAGAAGCTTCGGTCACATAAGAGCTGAAGCTGCTGTGCCAGCGCCTCAGCAACCAGCCAGGAGCTGTTGCTGGTGGATAAGGGACTTTCCCAAGACAAACCCTTCGTCCAAGTAGATGCGACTGCCAATGTGCCTGTGCAACTTGCGCAACCTATATCGCTATATTAGGCTATATTAGGCTATATTGGGCTATATTAGGCTATATTAGGCTACATTCTACAGATTCTGTATTTGGTTCCCTGCGGCTGAGGGCTGCACTCGTAATGAGTCTCTGCCTCCCGCAAGCCACGACACATGTCTTCTTCAACACCTGTCAAAGATTGCAGGAATTGGCCTCAGAGCATGACGCGGAGCAACCATCAAAAACATCACCTTTTCAACCGGTCTCGAGACAAAATGCTTCCTGCTGCAGTGTCCTTCAAAACCAAGTCTAGACTCCTGCAGCACCTGCATGTCAAAAAGGTTGAAGCTATGGATAGCTACCACTTCAGGTGACCAAAAGAAACACTGTGCCAAGGGGCTGGGCACTGCTTTCCGGAAAGAGGATCGGTTCGCTTCCCCCAAGCTAAAGCTCAGCGAGAGCAGGGTGTTAAAGCGCTGTCTCAGTGCATCACCACAGAACGGAAAACTCGAGAAAATCCGTTGATTTTATCATAATTATTTTTCAAGAATTGAGGGCTGCGTTGAAAGGACAGCGGCTTCTCAACATTCAAGTGGCGGTGGCATCATCGGAAAGTCTCTATGACGAACATGGAAAAATTAATTTCCTTTTCAAGCCAGTTTTGCAGTGAAGCTGCACATAGGCGTTGATCAGAATTTCCTGAAGCTTTGGATTCTTCATGAGGAAGGCCAGCTTCATGCCCACCTCAAAGTAGTGGTAGCTCTTGTCACCTGGGCCAACAAAGATGCAAAGCGTCGAAAAGCAATTTCTCTCTTGGACTTCTGTTGAGACTTCAGATAAGCTCTGTGGTTTCTCAGATTGATTCAGTACAGCAAAACCGCAGACCGCAAGTGCGGCCGGCCCCATTCGGTCAACCATCTTGAAAACCGCACCGATCGCGCCCGCTGCATGCGGTCCACCTAGACGACACACCGCTGGATCCGTCTGCAGAGTCTCTTGAATTGCCTCATCAAAGGTAGCCTCAGAAGTCTCAAACGGATGCCACACAACTCATTCAACAAAACGATGGCACATCCATGATCCATCCATGCAATCCATCCAACAATCATCCAACAACTTACCTCACTTGTTGAATTTACCCCACTTGTTGATAGCTAAAGCCCCTTGCACCCCCAACATTCAGGGATCACAATGCCACCCGGTCACCGGCAAGTCCAACTCCACAGCATTGCGGCGATAAAGCTTCTCCGCTAGCCAGTAGGGCACCGTCACCTGAACGTTCAGCACTTTTTGAGATGACCAATATGATCAATATGATCAATATCTATACATATGTGCATATGCATGTCATATGTATGTTATATGATATGTATGTTATATGTATGTTATATGTATGTGTACATATGTATTTTATATAACATATGTGTACTGTATATAGATATAATATGCAGATCAAAAGCCCCTGCAAGGATGGTTGAAGAGATTTTAAGAGAATGTCTAAGCCTCTTGCGCCATGCACTTTCCATCTGTCCATGAGTCCATAGGTGTTCTTTTGTGCATTTCAACCCCTCGAATTATCTTCGCCAGGTGAAGCACAGCCAGGACCCAGAGTAATCCCAACATACAGTACATCTATCAATTAACATGTGTCTGCGGTCTTCACACTGTCAATAAATCATGTGTAAATCATGTTATCATGATGTAGCATGTATGTTTATACATATACATATACAGATACATATACATATACAGATACATATACATATACACAGACACGTAAACATACAAATAACACAAGATACAAATATATATATATGGCATATATATATATACATATCCTGTTGCAATTTCGTCCTGCCACCCCAACACACCCGAAAGGTCACACCGCATGGCCTTTGCTCCTTGCTTGAGATCTCGTGGCTTGGCTGCCCCGGTGCAAGGATACCTGGAGGCTCCAAGCGGATCCCTGGAGATAGAACTTGACAGAGGATTGCCCGACTTACTGAAAGTTACTGAAAATTGCTGAATGGTCAAGCCCCTCCTAAAGAAACAAAACGGGTCTGTAAGTGTGGCAATCCCGGCAAGTGGAATGCAGCATGATGGTTACTTTGTCTCTTCTTATTCTTTGAACTTAGAGGTAAATTTGGTATCATTGCCTTTGGGTCCGTTAACCCCTAAGTCGCCCAAAGTTATCAAAGAATCAGAAGGAACGCCTCCACTTCCTTTCATGCAGCCAAGCTTGCAATTTTCCACCACCAGCTATATCTTGATTGCTCTTGATGACCACATCTTGTTCCTCCGCAAGTATCTCCTGATAGTTGCAAACAGCACTATCTGAATGCACCTTGAGTCCAGTTTCATCCGCAACACTGCTATGTCTCCGCGTGCAAACTTGAATATGGTGCCTTTGATTCTGATATTCTGGAACAGAATGGGAAGAAATCATGAGAATTCTGCATCAGGTTCGCAACAAAGATTCGCACTAAGGTCTAAGGCTGTTGATAGCAAGCGGCTTCTATATCCCAGTAGTCGAAGCTGGGCATAGCGATGCGCGGTGGATTTCTTGGGATGCAAGTTTCGCAAGTTTTTTCTTGCCTGTGGATTGTGCACTGTGTAGCAGTGTCTTACTGCGGCTATCTGAATACCTCATGGATTGATCGTTGCTCATGGAGTATCAATCACTTCAGTTGTACCAGAGCCCAAAGAGCGAAATTGATTTGGTGACAACGTACATAGAGGTTATGGAAAGTGACAGCAGCTCGCGCCAAAACCTTCGTTTCTGCTGCATCGAACAAGATCTCATCGCCGAGTGGAAGGTCAAGGCAAGCGGGGGGCGTACCAGCTTCTTCCGCATAAACAGGCTGAGGTAGTAATTTGCCACTTCAGGGTCTGTCAATGCGGGATTTTGAGTGTCCTCACAAGCAATATCTGAAAGGCATCTGCAAGGTGTTTTCTGAAGACAAGGCTGGCACTGTTCTCTGAAGACTTGTAGCTAGAACTACACGAAAGTCACTCTTCCGCGCAAGTCCTATAATTACACATCCACCAACAAAGCATCTAGAAACACGGAACATACCGCCAGGGTTGACACTCTCTCTCTCTCTCTTAATCTCACTGCGCTCTAAGCTCCTCAAACGTTCGGGAAATATGCACAGTACCAGCCATGTGCCCGTGCAAGCGCAATCCCGAAAAAGCCTCAGTTAAAGCGCGGCAAGCAAAAGCAGCAGAATACCTATTCCAGTCCTTTTACTGGGTTTCTCCCAACACGAGGGGGAGGATATGGTGTATACACATACTGAGGCAAAAGCACCAACTTCTCCTCCTTGTATCCCCGAGCATTCATATACCGTGTGACAGGGAGCAACATGGAGAGTAACCCGGAGCAAACCTGTTTAATCAGTTTAGCAGAGTTTAGCAGCAGCTTGGGACTTTTAAGGTGACAGTCGTGACAGTCGTCTGACATCCGAAGCACCGCTGAGGCAACCAACGACTGAACAATGTGCCAGGTCGGTGCCCAGCTGAACGATGTGTTTTTCCACCTGCTGAAGCGCCTCTCAGCAATCGACCAACAAAAAAATCACACAAAACAAACAGCAGATCAAATTTTGCACGTGAACATTGAAAAAATATGAATAAATAAAATGGTGGGAATGACTGGGGGTGTACTGTTGGTTTTGGCATTTCTCTAAACCCAGCCACAAACAAATGGAAAATCCCTGGGTTTCTGCTGGGCAACCAGCTTCAAGAGTTGACAAGAAAACTATACTAGATATTATAAAAATATGTGTGTATATGTATAATTATAATATACTAGTTCTAAGTTCTAAGTATACTACAATGTTAAGACATGTTAAAACTTCAAATCGACCAATCACAACCCGGAATATGCTTTCATAAATCCATCTGCGCTGCTCTGAATGGGTGAAATGATATGATGTGAATGACGTTTGAATGACGTTTCAATGACATGTGGAGAGCGGGAAGCTGAGCGGGAAGCTGGGAAGGAGAGCTAGAGGAGCTCGGCCACAGGACCCGGCACCTGCTCCATGGGATCCCCGTGAAGCTCCCGTGTCCAGGCCTCAGCTGAGATCAGCTGCGTACATGTCATATGAGTCATATCAAGTCATATCAAGTCATATCAAGTCATATCAAGTCATGTCAAGTCATATCTCATCAAATCTCATTGCATGTCGTCAGGGTACACGCTTCATGACTTGTGTTTCTTCATTCTTAACCGTCTTAACCCTTCATGTTTGGCTTCACGCATCGGTTTGACATGAAACAGACCGATTGCAAAAACCCACTGCAGCTTTTTGCTCCTGATATTTCTCTTGCAAAGTTTTTGCAGGGCTTTTGTTGGCCCATGTTGGTCCTCTTGCCCACACTTTGGCATGAGCGTTCTCCACTGACATGGAGAAAACAGGCTGCACAAAGTCTGTCTCTGCGATTAGATCTTGTTTCCCACGGGGGAACAATCTTGAATACCGATTCTCTATTGATTCTCTATCGATTCTCTCTACCGGTTTGAACATCAGTGACATGCAAGGTGGCTCATGGGTCATCGTCATCTCCGATGGCACGTTTTTTGAAAAGGTCAAACCAATGATCCGTGTCTTTTGCTTTGCGGAGGATCAGGTTCACCCGGTTTGCTCGGACAATATGCTTGCATTCCAAGGGATTCACTTCGCCATGGGTCTTGTAGCAAGCAAAACGAATATTTTTCCCATTGAGGCCTTCAACCAGGAGTTCAAAGGATCGATCCCCAAAACGAGAGTGCACTTGTTCAGGGTTCAGTCTACCGACTCCGTCCATTGGCACAAGCACCTTCACAAATTTGTCACTATCCTCCCAAGTGTAGGAATCCAGCGTCTCGTACTTCGTAATGTCAGTACCAAAAGGTGATTGCTTTGGGTTGAACTTCGTCTGGTTTTCCACTGGAACGTGTATAGGTTCAGGCGTGGTCTGCACAGTCACCTGCGGCTTGGATATAAAGGCTCCCCTGTCATGGTTGTGGGCATAATAATAGGAGAGTTCTCCACGTTTTTCCCTACTTGCTTTCAATGCACCCAAATCGGCACTCTCCGGCAAGAGTCGCAAAAAGAAGTCATTGTGCTCCCATGCGAAAGAAGCCACCGAAGATCGATCTGGGATCGGGCACACATCTTGATTCCAAAAGCAAAGCTTGTCGTAGTCAAGATTGGCATCGTTGGAATCGCTGAAGCGCTGTTGGAACTCCTGCAGAAATGTCTGCTTCAGGGTGCCAAACTGTGTTTCCTCAGGTCGACCTACATGAATTGGAAGGACAAAGCTGGGCAACTTGGCAACCTCCAAATGTGCATACACTTTACACGTCATGCCGCACCGGTCTCTACAAGTGCAAGTCAAGACTCAACTTTGCTTCAACAAAAAAGTCGTGACTGGCTGTGATATTCTAGCTCTTTGAAACATGCTTGAAATTTCACCTCTTGCAGAAACGTCATATCATGCTCCAGTAACAAAACTGTCACAAGCTTGTGGAGCCAATTTTCAGGAGCGAATTTGTCTCATTCCACAGCACGTGGATCTCATTTGTCATCATTAGACTAGATCCCTCCTCAAAGTTTGCAGCCCTCTTAATGAGGTGCATGAGTCAAGGAGCAGACTGGAGTATGGAGTGAGTACACAAACATAGACATATGATCGTGTTATCTGAAGGGTCAGGATTGCGTTGCTACCCACCATGCTCTGACAGCTGCTGTGGACGCGCACTGAACCCATCTCGCCAAAGAAACCGGCCAAGACCTCGTAAGGAAGCCTGTCCACAAACTCATCGAATGTCATCAAATTCAGCAGAAGAATTTTCAAACATTTGCGGTGTTGTCACCTCACCACGAAAGAACCATGACTTCCAAAACATGGTAAGTGAGGTAATGTAGAAGAGTATATATGAAGAATTAGAGACAGGCTAAAGTCACTTATCTTCCAGGCTATGGCAAGTCACCACAGAACCCTGCGTCCTCTTAAATCCTCCGGTTTTACGGAGCTCCATGGCCTACACAGCGCAGAGTCCACTGAGTATGCGAGTGAGATGTTATCTTCAAACGCTTAAGGTCTCAACTTGAAGGATCTGGAGGCAACACAACATAGGTAATTACGCCAAGAGAAACAATAAGCCCATAGGTGCCAACCCCAATAGCAGCCAACTATTTGAAACCAAGTGCAACTTCGTGTCATCGAAGAGCATGGAAAAAAAAAAACATTCCGCTCAATTTCACAGAATGTGCTGACAGCTTGAAGTTCTCTCTCTGATCCACCTCCTTGACAGCTTCGTGACGGATATCACTGCTGAGACTGCCCTTCAAAATGCAAAAGCCCTGGTCAGAGAATTCCCGGATCCAGGTGTTCCCCCGCATCCGGTGGTTTTTCATGGTGTGACGACAACGATCATTCCATTCAATAATGTTCAAAGTTGTTCCTTTCAACTACTTCATCACCTTATCATGAAGATTACAGCCACTACCACCGCGAATGTAGCATTTTTTTGCCAAAGACATGTGTAGAACACTCCTTACATCACAAGTGGATACAGGAGACCAGCTTCATAGTTACTGTACCTTTTGAATCTAAATTTGGAATTGTCTGACCGGCGCCTTTTCGACTAGCCTCCTGCCGATACGCCAATCTTTGGCATACCAGGGAAGCTCAGCCCAATCCTTGCACACTGTGAAAAAGCACAACATAAGTTAAGAATACACTCCTTGCAACATCCCAGTACAGCCCAGTACCATCCTCTTGTTTTTTCGTGAAACTGCATCCCAACCTCTACATCGTAGGCAGAAAAACTGGAGGTCGCCTTGCAGGCACGTTCCAAAAAATCTCCACGAAAACAAGCACAATTTCATACAACTCCATACAATTCCATACAATTCTACATACTTACATAGCATGCTTGAATGCAAATCGGCCGACAACGTGTCAAGTTGTGCTTTATCAGAGCGGTTGCCTGGCCAAAATCTGGCAGATTAGTTGCCCCTCGGCCAGCCGTTTCATTTGCCTGCGCCGGTTTCAAAATGTTGCCATTTTTTTGGATTGGACAGTTTGCGTTTTGTGTTTCACATCTGTGAACGCACAACCGGGCTGATTCTGACAAGCTAATTATCAAATGAGTTCATAAAATAACCTTCAATAAACGTGCATACAGTATACACGCAATATCAAAGACGCAATTTACAACCCCTATGCTTTCGCATCAGATTATCCTCTCCGTGTTTGTCGTTCCACGTAGTGTTTCGCGCCTTGTTTACGGCCAACAAAACCTCCGTGACATTCGGCTGCTTTTCAATGGTGGTATTTCCATGGATGTCCTCCAGGTATCGCAGATTCAAATCCCATCCTAAACCACAACATTTCACAACATTTTCCAACCAATGCAAAGGAAAAAATAAAGAAATTAAAGAACAAAACAATCCTCCACAGTTCGGATTGAACTCGGTCTGGACAGGACCTTGTTTCCAGAGTGGAGCATTTTTGTTGCTGACAAAAAGGTGTGTTTTACTGCAATTGAAATGATTTCCCGCCTCTTGGACAGAAGCATCTTCTCTGATTGCCTGGCTGCATCATGTTGCAGATTTGGACAGGATTTGGACGGCACTATTTTATGCCAATGAGTATTCAACGAAGAACCCAACCTCAAGGACCCCAGCATCCGTACTTCCTGCTACGCGCTGTAGCAAGGAATTCACGAAGACGTTGAGCATCACCTTCGAACACGCTCAAACCGCCTTTGTGGGAAAATAAAATTTGCTATATATATATATACATGATACATGAAAATACATGTTTTACCCATATCCTTGCAACGACGTCTGCAAAGTTGCGACTGTGTGTGGTTCGTGAACGAGTCAGGCAGACATCGACTGAGAACGAGTGGGGGATTGGCTATGTTGGAACATGCCATGTGCGTACAAACTAGAATGCACCAAACTGAAAAGAAATGGCAATGGTATCAAATCTGTATGCCGATGATGAACCAAAAAAAGACGCAAAAGTGCAGAAAAGAGAAAGAATAAGCAGCATAAGTGAACATTTAAAAACCAACAGCTGTTTTGGGAAGTCAGAACCCTCCTGCAACCAACCCTGACAACAGGCCACCGCATTGCAGTCGGGATGGCAACAAACTGTCCGAAAGCTACGGTTTCTGTGGGAAGAACCAGGCAGGCAGCTCCGCGCATTGTGTTGTCCAGCATGGCATATTGATGCAACCCAACCAGTTCAAGTCAACCGTCACTGTTTGCCGGAAGCAGTTAATACGCAGAATACATTCCCCTGCAAATACACTAGTTTGATGCGGGCCCGGTACATCATGGTGACATCAACCATGTGAAATAGTATGGGGAGCGCGTTTGTTTTAAGGATCAAATGCTAAGGCGGGTTCATTGGAAGTTACACGGTTTTCAAAACTTAAATTTTGTTTTCAGTTGGGCCAAGTTCTGACTTATATAATCAACACTTTGCCCGCACTATGATACGATGGGTATCCTTAAGCACGGTAAAAAACCAACGTTGACTTTCAATTCCGCACTATGTACATAGCAATTTTTGACCACTGACACGCTGCTGCGCTAACATGTTGACGCACTGACAGGCTGCAACAGCATGACAACATGACCGCCAGACAACAGGACCACCGGATAGGAAAGCGCAACGCAATCCCAATTTTGCGTTAAAAATTCAAGGTCACTTGTATAATGATTATAAACATGTGAAACCAGTGACTTCATATGATGGGAAGGAGGTTTACGGGCACACAAGCAAACAAGCAAACGCACACCGAAGCGAACAATCAGAAATCTGACGCGGAACGATAGTTGCTCGACGGCCGGTTGGCAAATATAGGTAAATCCAATAGACAAAACCACGTGGCAAACGAGTTTTGCCACCATTTTTCCAAGATGCAAAACAGGCCAAAACAAGGAAAATGCAACGACATTGCCGATGGGTTCCATGTTTGCTGTTTAAAAATAACAGTTTCAAACAACGTCGATCAATTTCCGACAGGAAACATCAAAACTGGCATGACAGAAGTCAATGCATTACCCCTGGGGCCCTCCTCCGCTTAACTGTGCCGATCAAAACCCTCAATGGCTGGGAAAATGGCGCCGCGTCCACTAGTGTTGCCATGCGCGTTGGCCGTGGCAAGGCGAAAAGGGCTAGCTCAGGAGCACGCCGCGCCCCCCAATGTCGAAACAGCAAGCAATAAAATTAACAAAAGCGATGTTCGGGCGTGCAAATTTTGATCTCTTGGCCTGCTTGGTTTCCGTATAATGTTTGCTTGCCTGCTCACTGACTGCACATGTGTGCTTGTTCGGTTGCCCAGTCAACTTCGGCGCCTTCTTCTGCTGTCTTTTGATGCCATGTCTTGATCGTTTGCTCGCCTGCTTCCTTCCCCTTTCTTGCTTGCTCTCCTTGCTGTCACACAACCCAACGCCGGGTGGAAAAAAGAACACCGACCCTGGTCTTCGATGGCGGCCTGCGCTTCAGGAGGACAACGACTAACAGCAACGGCAAGAGCAAGAAAAGCAATGCAGCAGCAACGCCGCAAAGCACCCACCACCACCACCACCACCACAACAACAACAACCACCACAACAACAACCACCACCACCACCACAACAACAACAACAACGACCACCACAACCACAACAACCACAACAACCACAACAACCACAACAACCACAACAACCACAACAACAACAGCAGCAGCAGCAACAACAACAACAACAACACGACGACAATAGCACCAACAGAAACAACGGCAACAACAGCAGCAGGAGCAGCAGCAGCGGCAGCAGCAGCAACAACACCAACAACAGCCCACTACCGGGACCAGGAACCACAACCAAAACAAGCATAAAGTAAACGCTAACGCCAATACTGATACCAACGCTCGGTAGAAGCAAATCCTGAAATCCAGCCTCGGCATCCGTGTGGGCAGGTGCTCTCAGTAGCTGTGTGCACACAGCATCTCCCTACTGACAGCTGCTGTTGGCTGGAAGGTTGCTGAAGTATGGCGTTTCTCATACATACCCGTGTTACACGGAGGAAGTTGGCTGCAAGCCAGCCGCATAGCACTTTCAAGGTCAATGCTTTAAACGTACTATCTCCGACTGCCATGAGGGCAAAACCCCCTCTTGTCTGCTCTTGCTATGCATTTGCTTTGAAAATCTAAAGCCAAACACTGCGGCAATGAAGCCAACATGGAACACACAAGCTTGAGGCGCTTGAGCGAAATTGAACTGCAGTCTGCAGGCTCTAGTCCAAGTACCAAGCCACTTTTTCGAATTTGTGTGCTGCTGCACCGTGGCACTGCACCGCGGCAGGGCAAAACGCTGCCATGCTGCCACATGTGTGGCTGGCAGTCACGGCAGATGGCCGAGCCTTATGATGGCCACATTGCCACAACTGATGGCCCACTTACTTCCATTGTTTATGTGGTTTTTTCCATTTCAATTATCCATTTTTTTGGTGGGCTGGGATTGAAGCATTTACAGCATTTACAGTTGGGAAAAAGACTGCTTGTGTTGGCAGCCTGCAGTCCTTGGACTTCTTTGCCAAATTTTCTTCCAAACCATTGAAAAGCAAAGCAACGATGCATAGATTTTGTACAAATAGGTTTAGGAGTTTAGGTAACATGTGTAATGATTATAGGATACTCATGATATAAAGTGTGTTGACTTTAGCTGAAGTACAACCATCGGGCTTCCCAATGGATCCAGGAATGCATACTTTCAACCCACAAGGTTTCCAAATGGATCGCAGGAATGGATAGTAAATCCAAATGGATGTTCGGAATGCAAATTTAATGGATATAAACAGATGTTCCAGCAGGAGGGGTTCTGCCAGATGTGGCTTTCATAAGCCGAGCCATCCCGGGGATGACTGTACAGACTGTACAGACTGTACAGTGTACGACTGTACAGACTGTACAGTGTACAGCACGCGCTAGCTACTCTCCGCTTGCTTTCAAGCAGGGCCTCCCCGTCATTGGAATTGTTCTATTTCCCTGTAGAGTTTTTCCTCTGGTTGCGCGCGGCCTGGTGGACTCTCTCCTTTTCCTAAAAACTCCAGCTCGTGGCCCGCAAGTGATGCCCACGATGGATGTAGCCGTTGTTCGTGCCCTCGGCATGGAAAATGATATGGAGCTGCCCCAGTTTCAGAAGTACCGTCTTTGGGATCGGGGCTGTATGCAACACATCTTCTGTCACAACACGAGTATTCAAGAAAAGTACCTTAAGGTCGTGGTTGTGAGATAAGATGACAATCAGATCTAAAGGGATTCACCATGGCATGGGTAGACAAGAGTACACGTGTACTGTATAGTCATCATGTGTGTGTGTGCGCGCGCATGGGTATGTACGTACATATATGTATACATGTATATATATATATATGCATCAGCATACATATAATGTACATATCCATGTATCATCACCAGCACGGCTAAATATTATATACATGTATACATACATATCCTGTGTACTAATACATATTTGTTTACGGGAAACTATAGGCTCTACTAGCGATTAGTTGGCTGATAGGAATTCCTATTTACACGTGTCTGGATGTAATTCATACTAGAATATGTATTTATATATATATACATATGCACATTCATGAGCGTGCATAGTATGACATGTACTTATATGATATTTCATATGTACGCATATCTATATATATACATATGCATATACATATACAAATACATATACATATACATATACATGTACGTATATCATGTGTGCATGTATATGTGTATATATATAATATGTGCGTGTGTGTGCGTCCATATCTATATCATTTGCCATAGTATATCGTTCGGAAGCTGGTATCAAAGTGAAGCGCTCAAACCAGTCTTCAGCATGACTCAATTCTAGATAGGCGATATCATCATTAAAAAATGGCAGTACATAGTGAATGTCTTGCAATTTTGACTTTGACCTGCAGTAAATCTGCAAACCCCAAACCAGGATCGGGATGTCCAGAAGTCGCATTAGGATCTCCGCAAGTTCCAGAAACGACTTTTTTGGAAGATGTGTTTAAGGGTGTGGGGATAGCTGGACGCTGGATACCTAATTGAGAAGGCATGTGATCTGACTCCATGCCTAGGCTATCGTCACCAACAACTTCCAAGAAGTCTAAACAAGCATAAAAACATGACCCCGAGAGTAAATGCAGACAACCAAAGTTGTCAATGTTTTGGCCTGATAATGATCCAAAATAAGCAAACGAGCACATGCAGACAAAACAACCAATCCGCAAATGGAAATCTGCAATCTGTTGGTGTGATTCTGATTCCCCCATTGATTTCAGTCTGTCCCAACCTTCCCACAATTATATTTGAAATCATTCAATTTTATCTCTGAAGTATCATCCCAAACCAATGCCAAACAAGATTCGCAGCACAAGGAAAAGAAGTTGTCCGTCCGTGGAAAGCTGTTCGAACATGCTTTCCAGATCAGTTTTATGATTGACGGCGATTATCAAATCTCCTGGAAGAATCTGATCTCCTTAGTTTCTTCTCTGGTCACAAACCATCAGTTGTCTGCATGTGTTGTAAGGTTTTGTCGGGTTGCAACATGCTCCTACAAAACCCTATAGTTAACTTGTACATACATATACATACATGCATGCATGCATCCATACATACATCCATACATACATACATACCTACCTACATACCTACATACCTACATACCTACATACCTGCATACACTACATACACTACATACACTACATACGTTACATTCATTACATTCGTTACATACATTAAATTACATTACATTACATTACATTGCATTGCATTGCATTGCATTACATTACATTACATGCATACAAAACATGACATACATACATACCATAACATACATACCATAACATACATACCATAACATACATACCATAACATACATACCATAACATACATACCATAACATACATACCATAACATACATACCATAACATACATACCATAACATACATACCATAACATACATACCATAACATACATACCAATACATACATACCATAAGATACATACCAATACATACATTACATTACATTACATTACATTACACTACACGACATTACATTACATTACATACATACATACATACATAACATAACATAACATAACATACCATAACATAACATAACATAACATGACATACATATATGCATTACATACATACCATAACATACATACCATAACATACATGCCATAACATACATACCATAACATACATACCATAACATCCATACCAATACATACATACCAATACATACATACCAGAACATACATACCAAGACATACATTACATTACATTACATTACATTACATTACATTACATTACATTACATTACATTCATACATTACCTACATACCATTACATACCATTACATACCATTACATACCATTACATACCATTACATACCATTACATACCATTACATACCATTGTATACATACCATTACATGTAAACACATAAATACATACCTACCTACCCTACCCTACCCTTCCCTACCCTACCCTACCCTACCCACCTACCATAACAAACATACATACATACATACAGACAGACAGACAAACAGACATACAGACATATAGACATACAAACATACATACATTACATTACATACATTACATACATTACATACATTACATACATTACATACATTACATTACATACATTACATACATTACATACATTACATACCTACCTACCTAGCTACCTACTTACCTACCTACCATTACACACATAAATACATACATCTTTACATACATACATACATTGCATTACAATACACTACATTACATTGCATTACATTGAATTACATTACATTACATTACATATCATTACATTACATTTCATTACATTACATTACATACATTACATACATACCATTGCATAACATTACATAACATTACATAACATTACATAACATTACATAACATTACATACATACATACATTACATACATACATACCATACCTTACCTTACATTACATTACATTACATTATATTACATTATATTACATACATTACATACATTACATACATACATACATACATACATACCATTACATACCATTACATTACATTACATTACATTACATACATACATACATTAATACATTAATACATTAGATGCATACATACATTAATACATTAATTACATACATACATACATTAATTACATACATACATACATTAATACATTACATTACATTACATTACCTTACATTACCTTACCTTACATTACATTACATTACATTACATACATTACATTACATTACATTACATTACATTACATTACATTACATTACATTACATTACATTACATTACATTACATTACATACATCACATACATTACATACATTACATACATTACATTACATTACATTACCTTACATTACGTTACATTACGTTACATTACGTTACATTACGTTACATTACGTTACATTACATTACATTACATTACCTTACATTACCTTACCTTACCTTACCTTACCTTACATTACATTACATACATACATTACATTACATTACATTACCATTACCATTACCATTACCATTACCATTACATTACATTACATTACATTACATACATACATACCATACATACATTACATACATTACATACATTACATACATTACATACATTACATACATTACATACATTACATACATTACATACATTACATACATTCCATACATTACATACATTACATACATTACATACATTACATACATTACATACATTACATACATTACATACATTACATACATTACATACATTACATCCATTACATACATTACATACATTACATACATTACATACATTACATACATTACATACATTACATACATTACATACATTACATACATTACATACAATACATACATACATACATACATACATACATACATACATACATACATACATACATACATACATACATACATACATACATACATACATACAACATACATACAACATACATACATACATACATACATACATACATACATACATACATACATACATACATACATACATACATACATACATACATACATACATACATACATACATACATACTACATACATACATACATACATACATACATACATACATACATACATACATACATACATACATACATACATACATACATACATACATTACATACATTACATACATTACATACATTACATACATTACATACATACATACATACATACATACCATACCATACCATACCATTACATTACATTACATTACATTACATTACATTACATTACATTACATTACATACATACATACATTTTGCGTTTGTTGGGGGGCCCCTAGAGGAGGAAATCAATATAAGAGGTGGAATTATGGATAAGTTGTGTCCACTGTGATGTAAGCATGAATGAACGCTGAAGAGATTGCGCCACTATTGCAAAGAAACCAAACCAAAGCCTTGCGATCATCTGCAGCGATCAACATCGAATGAACACTCAAATGCACAAACTAGATGAAACAACCCACGGGCAGCCCAGAAAACCAGATAAGGTCAGAATCAGATGAACATCAAATGAGTGTAAAGGCTCCCAGCAGGTTGCCAAGTAAACCACATATTGGGTCATGAATGATTGATGCTCACCAACTTTTTTTAAGTCGAATCGTGATACTGATAATGTGGTCGTGTTCTTTTTTGCACCACACGGTATCAATACGTACTTAAAGTGTTCACCCCCCAGCTGCCGTGGAACTAGCACTTAGAGAACTGCAGCCACGGACTGCAACCAAAGAACTCGGGTGGCACTCGCGACACCGGTCATTCCATGCTGATAGTACCGATTGCTCCTTTGCAGACAAAACTGGGCGAACTCTCGGCGGTTCCACTGGAGTCATACCATGTTCAAAGGGGAGCTGACTCGAGTGCAACTGTGTTTCTCAAAATCTTTGTTCTCCACAGGGTCTGAGAAACCGAGAAACATCGAGAAACCAAGTTCAGTGTCAGGAACCTGAACACTTTGCACTGCCAGATAAAAAAAGGCCTGACAAACGAGACTCCACAAGCTATTTTGGCCAGGGGACGTCCACCTTCACGACCATGATTCTTGTCACATCATCTGGAAAGTCAAGTTCTTCACCTCAAATGATATTCATGTGCGCAAAGGCCACAGGAGCAAACTCACAAGATCTCACAAGTAATTGACCATGTGAAAGGGCACGGAAGAGATATGTGTGTATCTATATATAGTTATATATATATATACACATATATGTATATAAATTGTATATAATATGTACATAATATGTATATAATATGTATATAATATGTATATAATATGTATAGAATGTATATATATATGTATATAATATAAGTGTCGCATCAGTTCTCTGGATTGAAAGGTGATCAAAGTGAAACCAAGGTACCAAGCAAGCCCAGTCGGCTACCTGGTTCTCTGACGACCTTCACCTGAAAGTCATACGGCTCCACCGGCTTCATGCTATCCAAAGGAACCCACCTGGGTACAAACTCAGACATGGCAAAATCTCGAAATCCGGCTCTGATATCTGGCTAGTCTTCATGTCTTCCTTCTGGCACTTCACTTTCATGCAAATCATTGATGAACATATCGAATCTAATCTAACGTCGAATTCTGAAGAAAACAAACTGCCAGCATCGTCTCAAAATCCCTTAGTATTAGTTCTTTGAAAGGTGGTGTGTTGTGTGATAGTCCATATACAGTATAATATATTAATATAATATAATATAATATAATATAATAAAATATAAGACAATATAATACAATACAATATAATATATTATAATATAATATAATATAATGTGGTATAATATGATATAATATAATATCATATGATATAATACAATATGATATAATATAATATAATATGATATGATATGATATAATACAATATAATATAACATAATATATAATATATAATATATAATATATAATATATAATATATAATAGATAATAGATAATACATAATACATAATACATAATACATAATACATAATATATAATATATAATATATAATATATAATATATAATATATAATATATAATATATAATATATAATATATGATATATAATATATGATATATAATATATGATATAATACATAATATTATATATATTATAATATTAATATATTAATATAATATAATATAATATAATATAATACATAATATTATATATATATTATAATATTAATATATTAATATATTAATATATTAATATTAATATTAATATTAATATAATATAATATAATGCAATATAATATAACACAATAAAATATAATATAATGTAATATAATATAACACAATACAATACAATATAATATAATATAATGTAATATAAATTTAACAAAATATAATATAACATAACATAATATACTATAATAAAATAAAATAAAATGTAATATAATATAATATAATTTAATTGATATAATACAATACAACATAACATAATATGATATAATTAATATAATATAATATAATATAATATAATATAAAATATAATATAATATAAAATATAATATAATATATAATATAATATAATATATAATATAATATAATATAATATAATATATAATATAATATATAATATAATATATAATATAATATATAATATAATATAATATAATGTGGTATAATATAATATAATATAATATAATAAAATAAAATAAAATATAATATCATATCATATAATATAATATAATATAATGTAAAGTAATGTAATGTAATATGATATGATATGATATGGTATGACATAAATAAAATTTGTACGTGTATATATATATCGTATATATGTGTGCGCGTCTTGTTGCTCAGTACAAACTGAGGTCCTTACCCCATTCTTTGGCCTGTCTTCGATGGGAAGTCTTCCAGCAGTGCGAAGTCATCCCTCACGAATCGCAGCAAGAGAGTTTCTCCCAACTCGCATCGAAGGAAGCCCGGTAGGGTGATCTTCTTGTTAGGCTGAACCTCGACCGCACAGCAACGACTCTGAGCCGCTCCAAGTCGAAAGCACCTGAGCAACGTCCAAAAGGTGTGATTAAATGCCCATGTTGCATGGTTTTGCTTATGCGTGGGTTTATGCACTACTTACGCGACCACAATTTTGACTTACGCGGGGGTTGGGGTGTGAGACCGACACTTACGCGACTTGAATTGCCCAAATATGGTTTTCCTGCAAGGAATTGTTTACGCGGCGGCTTGGGACATGTTGACAGGAATGCTTACGCATGGGCTCATGCCATGCATCTATCTCCAAACTACTTACGCCGGACAGCCATATGACACAACCTTTTACTAAACACATGCAAGGAGGTTTTGGACCCTGCTTGCCTCTTCGCGTAGTCGAGATAGTCGACTTTCTTCTCCCCATCAACTCCTCTCTGCCGAGATTGGCCCGCGGTCCCAACACCGCTTGCAGTTCGAGACCGTGTATTCTGCGGCTCTTCACCGTCTGAAGACGGAGGCTTCGGGGGCGGAGGCTTGGGACGTGCTCCTTTGCCCCCTGTGTGTGATTGCTGCCCCTTTGCTGCAGCCTCCGCCCACGGGTCATTGCGAGTCCACGGGTCCTCTGTCGAAGAGGATTCTTTTCCTGTTCCTTTTCCTTGCACTGTCGATGCAGGCGCTGTGCCTTTGCCATTTGTTCTGCCCTTTGACCACGGATCATTTCCGTTGTCCCAGGGATCTCCAGCCTGCGCTCCCGGATTTGGCTTGGCCAATCGATCCTGGCCATCCCGTGGATCTGGTGCCGTGGAATTGGCACTTCCACCCTGACTTCCACCACCACTCCACGGATCCCTACCATTTGCCCAAGGGTCTTGCCCCCCGGACCATGGGTCCTCCTCCTCCTCTAATGGATCTGTTGTCGTTGGTTCCGAACAGTCCATACTGGGTTCCGATTCGGGTTGAATCTGCTGAACTGGCGGGACATGTCTCCCGCGTGTAGCAACTCTGCTAGGGTGTTCATTGGCAGGTTCGTCCTCAGAGCCCCAACTTTTCTCTGACTCGGACGACTCACCATTATCCCTCATGCCGCCTAACTGTTCAGGCAATTCTTTGAATTTGTCTAGGATCAAAAACCTTGGTCATTCATTACAGTACAAACGTCAGGTCTAGATGTTGATTTGTCATTCATTGATAAATGTTCATTTTGTTTTCTTGTTGTAGCCATTCCACATTCCACACTTTTAATGGTAATGAACAGTTGACCCCTGAGCTGGACGGAAGAAGCGCGGGTCGACTGGAATCCAGTATGTTCAATTTGCCGCAAACACGTGTCAAATAAACTGCCACGACCGCAACACAAACAAAAATACCAAAAATAATGAATTGATTCTTTGTTGATGCAAGCATCCAAAAAACACAACTCTACCTGCTGACAACACCATGTGTTGACTGTGGATTTAAAAGATCCAGCAAAAACTGATGATTCACCCTGATGCATTTTTGTTCTGTTTGCGGTCCACACTTGTTGTCTGCATTTCAAATTGTCAAAAAGGCACGTGGCGCAATTTGGCAAGTCAAACACATTGTCATTTTGACCACACAAACGACATAAACCACATCGCAATTGCAAACAAAGTAGGCGGGGGATAATTTCGTGCCTGTGACAGGGTGCTGAATTCTAAATGTCCACCCAGGTTCATGACAACAGACTGCCAGGTTGTCGTCTTATCCCTATAATTTGTAGAAATCCAAATGTTATCACTACGATCATTGTGTCTGGTTCGCAGGTGACGCAGTGGTAAAGTTGATGGTTTTGTTTTCAATGGTAATGCGATTTTGCGGTTTGAGGGACGAACAAATGGTATTCAAATTTGGTTCACCAACATGTGCAAGTTCCCCACCCCACGTCATTGTGGCATAGCGTGCTGTGCAAGTGCAAGGTCGATTTTTTTGCATATAGGCCCATATTTAGAATCAAAAACCCGTTCTGCTTCTTTTCCTTGAATCACAAGCGCCTTCAAATATGAACAGATACTACACTGATCAACTATGTGACATGGAGTGCAAAGCTACAGCTAAACTGACAGATCTACCTAAACGCAAATGTCTTGCACTCCGCCTTGCCACCAGGTTCAACTAGGTAGCAAACGCTTGTAAATGACTACAGGATTCTTTGCACAGCCAAATGAATGCCGCTGGGGCAGGATTTGTGCTGTGCCATACTTGCGCCGTCTCTTTGAGACAAAATTCAAAGGGCTGTGATCTCTAAGATTCTAGCCTAAATTCAATAATGCTGGTGCCCACTTCACGATGTATCAGAGTTGCTATCTGACTCACCATGGTGATATACCATCCATTCTTCCAGGTCACTGCGCCGACAAAGTTCACTGTTGAGATATCGTTGACCTCTCTGGTTTTCTGTTTCCATCACCTCATCACTGTCTGATTGGTTTTCTTCCTCTGGATTTTCATGTGGTTCACCATCAAGCATGCTCATCAATTGATTTGCAACTGCATTGACATGTCTGCTTTCAGTTGGGTGGTCGTTGCTTGAACCGGCATGGACTGTATCTGAAATCGCCGATCCAATGTTGAAAGCTCGTTCTGCAGCATCCATCTCATTGACAACCTGAATCAAAGACATCTGGTGCAATGGAGAATTCTCGTCCTCTGACAAATCCTGCATGTTGCGCGTCATGACCGACGCTGCGTAGCGTGCTTCTGGATCTGAACTCCTGCACGCTTGCATGACTTCTCTCAGAACTCCCAAACGTTGTTGATACAGGGTTCTGCGGTCTTCTCCAACACAACCATCAGGACGTCTCAAGCACCTGTTGTACATGCATGTCAACATTGCTTCAGGTGACCAAGCCTCATTTGGAAATGGCAAATCGGCAGGGGTCTCGAAAAACGGCATACCAGAGGCATCAGATGCATGAGGGCCTGTAACAGGCAGATGAGAGCTGGTGGCTGTACCAGCCATCAATGCTGCACCAGCAACTCCAGCTGCATCAGCGCTTTCAGGAATTGTTTTTTTTTCCTCTGTTGCGGCCGATATCGCTCTGAGGCTCGGTCCTAACATTGGGATAAGCAGACAAACTAATTAGAAACTTCAGCAAAACACAGTGGTCTCACTCATAAGGCAAATCAAAATAAGAACCACACAAGCACCAACACCAAGAGACGACACGCAAATCCCCCAGCCAGATTTGCGTTTCGCCATCGAGAGAAAAACGGCGAAACAAGACAAGAACGGGGCCGGAGCCCAAACAAAACACCCACAACACAGCAAGACAAGATTTGCCAAGTGACACAGTGGATATATCCCACCGTGTCATCAAAAACATGCACTACAACTAATTAAATTCTTCATCCATGGCCCAGCAAACAGTGTGAAACGATCTTCAGCAAATTGCCACTAATAAAAGAGGCAAGTTGTGATATTATAAAACTGTACACAGCGGAAGCATTCCCTCAGATTCCTCTCACATGTGCTTTTCCAAGCATCCGCCATCGAATCATACCCTGGTAGAATGTATGATCACGACCCTTTCACCACAGCCAATATGAAGTTAGCTGTTACCGTTTGCTGTCAAGCCATCCCCCCTAGGGGGAACGGCAAAGGGGGCCCTGACGATGCAGTCAGGCAGGGCCAGGCTGCCAATGACAGAAAAGTTGCACCAATCGTACCGTCAAACATGCTGAAATGTCGCTGCCTGAGGTAGTAAGAGTGAGCACTGAACTCAGGGAGTATATCCACATCACCCTCACTGCGATGATGTCAGCCAAGGGTGAAGAAAGGCTACGGTATAGAAAGGCAGCACTATCGAAATAAAACGTCTGAGACGTTGCAGGTTGTGATGTAGAAAGCCAGACTGTTCAGGCACCTTCAGAGTATCTTCGTCTCCAGCTGGTACTTGCAGTGTAGCGCTACATCGGTAGAAAAGTTGGCTCACCAGGAGCAGCCTTCAGCAGTGGCCATTCACTCACCCACAGAGTGGAGCAACTATCTGATCACAGCACCGAAAAACGAGCCATTAGGGCAGACTTTGCTGCACAGGGGCGCCCCGGGCTGTCCGGCAGAGAGCAGCACTGGTCAGCGCCAGTGCCACTCGCTGCAGTGCAGCCCAGTCCATGGCTTCGGCCGGCAGCGAAACTACCCCCGAGAGTAGAAACGAAGACGAAAAGGACACGAAGCCAGGAGACAAACAAAAAGCAAACGAATTCAAAGGTACAGACCGTCCAAAAGCAGTTGAAGCGGGAAGGTCAGGGGGCACCTCGGGTGTTCCTGAGTTGAGCAGCTGTGGCTTGGTGTGGGAAACAAGCTTCTGATGACCTCAGTCGCCTTGGTGGTAAGGATAAACCAAACAACACAAACAACAGCCAACAACAAAAACAACGGTCCAGTGGTGCGTCAAGACGCGCCTGAAATGCTGCCAAGTGACGTCACGTTCTATTTTCTATGGTTTTGGCGGTGTTTTTGTGTTTTTTCATCTGCTTGTGTCATGTCATTTCATGTTTGTTCTTTTAAAATTTTGAGCGAAATTTCCATGGCACCACAGTTTCGCGCATGTCGCACGGGGCTACAGCGAAATGCATCGTTTTAAATGTTGGTGGTAGTTTCGCTACAGTGAAATGGCATTTTTTACCCACATAATTTACTTTTTTTTGACTTGGATTTTTCACATAGCAGCTACATCATGTTGCACGGGGCTACAGCGAAATGAAGGTTTTTAGTCTTTTTCGTGTTTTCGTTACAGCGAGGTGCACCTTTTTTGATGTATGGTATGGTTGATTCTAGTTTCATAAACAATGAGTTGTGTGTGTGTTTGAATGTGTTTTCAGCTGAATACGGCATTTGAGAGCATTCGAAGAATCCACAGCTCAAAGAAGCTGACACGGACGCTTCTTTTTTGTCCTGGCGAGTGAACTCATTCGAACAGCCAAGAGCTGTTTTTTTTTGTCCAAGACCAGGAAGTCTTTGGGTTCATGTCCCAAGGCAAGTTTCACTTTGTTCCGGACGTAACATCGGGAGCGTGTCGAGGATTGCAAGAGAAGATCTATAGAGCGTAGCATCATGAGCGTGTCGAGGATTGCAAGAGAAGATCTATAGAGCGTAGCATCGGGAGCGTGTCGAGGATTGCAAGAGAAGATCTATAGAGCGTAACATCGGGAGCGTGTCTAGGATTGCAAGAGAAGATCTATAGAGCGTAGCATCATGAGCGTGTCGAGGATTGCAAGAGAAGATCTATAGAGCGTAGCATCGGGAGCGTGTCGAGGATTGCAAGAGAAGATCTATAGAGCGTAGCATCATGAGCGTGTCGAGGATTGCAAGAGAAGATCTATAGAGCGTAACATCGGGAGCGTGTCGAAAGGAAGATGCAACAGGAAGAAGGCGACAGAACGCTATTAAGCCCCCCCCCACCCCCCCACCCCCCGTACGAGGGAATAATAAGGCCTATGTGATTTTGAGCTCTGGGCACCCAGATTGGGAAAGTTTAGTATTGAACTCTTAAACTTTTCCTAATCTTCAAATTTGGGAAACAGTTTAATACTAGACGACGGTTGGCCCGGAGCGAAAAAGATGTTTTTCAAGCAGCTCTGAGGATGGTAGTCGTAAAAGATAGTCGGTGAATAGTTGGTGAATTTTATATGAGCTATGGAAGGATATGGTGTGAAAAAGTAAGATTGATCAAGAAGAGAATATTTGGTAAAGGGCATCAGATGACATGTGTCTTGCAACCACAGAGAGAAAGAGGGGGCAGAGATAAAGAGAGAGAGAGAGAGAAAGAGAGAGAGAGAGTGAGAGAAAGAGAAAGCAAGAGAGAGAGAGAGAGAGAATGAAAGGGGGGGCTAGAAAGAAAACATGGAGAAATGTAATGTGAGCAACAAAAGTGCACAGGAGGCTCAGTGCCATGAGTCTGCGAATGACATGTGCTATCTCATTTTATTATGGTAATTCCCACACACATTGCGGAAAAAGGCGCAGCACCATCATTCCGTGAACGCGAAGAAACGCGACGCTTTTATACAGAGACGCTTTTACACACATAATCTTTTACACATAAACACTTTTACACACAGACGCTTTCACAC